CATATAGTTACAATTGATATTATCATAAAAATAAATCGTTTTCGAAATATCATTCAGTAAATAGTAGTGTTTCACTGTGTAATATATTCAAGAGACCAAAGAATTTCGAATTACACACTACCATAGTGCCCAAGTTTTACATATAAGTCAATAATTTATCTGATTTTGAAAATTGTGTCTACTGCACTATTAACCTTTAGTTACTCACACCGAAATATTTAATTAATTACATAAGTAGGGTGATTCAGCTTGAATCAAGTAGTTCAATGAAGATATTTAAGAACTCTTACGCTTCATTCCTAACGGAATTTGCTTTATTCAGTCATCTTCATGAGGTTTAAACGACTTTAACCGAGAAATTTATTATATACTAAATGTGCCTCATTTGTATAATACTTCGTGTTAATGAAGCTTAAAATCGGTGATGTTCACTAAGCAGCATTTCTTGATGAACTGAACAGCTGTGTGCTTTAATTCATCTAAATATATCATAAAGTGACCAGCTACTTGTGTTGACTGGTTCCTTTTGGAAGTCTAAGTTGACCAATAGCAATACGAAGTTGGAGTACTACTCATGGACTGTATATGGTTAACAAAGCGTTTCAATGTTACTTTGGTATCATCTTTACTGGCGGAAAGTTTTCAATTGCATTTAACAAGTCTTTTATTTTCACCGGTTCAACTTTATACTAATCAGTTTTCACGACGAAAGAATAAGGAGTTACTATTTCTGTTGTAAACTGTTGTATAAAAATTACAAACGAAACGTTCATATATTTTGTAAATCACAGCATGCAAGTACACACTTAAATTACGATGATACATTCTCAAAAAATATATTTGGAAGGTTAATATATATATATATATATATACATATACATATATATACTTCCGCTCTTCAACGTATGTATTATAACAAAAGATACAAAATCTCGGATCCAGACGAGGCTGATTATTATTCAACTAATCTGAAATGGATTGATTTATCGGTTGAATATAATGAATGACAGAGATTTAAACAAAGCAATAAGAAGACGTATTTGCGCAACACATTTCCAACAATCTGATCACACATGGACTTGTCATAGGAATATATATGAAATTAATAAACAGTCAGGTTAAAAGGACATACTGAAGGTCAAAATAACATCGAAGATCGCTGAACCAAATAACAGAGGTAATATTACGTCTGCTATGATATCAAAACAAAATTTACCAAGGAAGGTTTAATGCGATGACGAATTGTTTTTGAACGCTTTAAGGTGGTTTAAAGTTTCTAATTATTAGGGCTTCCACAAACTTCAGGATACTCCCCAAACACGCTTTATAGATAGGTTTAAAAGATCTGTTAACGTTAATTTTATGTCCTGTCTCTATAATATGTTTCGCAATAGAGGAGCTAGGTTTGTGCCTGTTCTCACCATTAATGGGTTCTGAAGATTCTATTTGTTTCTGAAGCCATTTAGGAATATGCTCTGAAGCCAGTCCTTACTTGCAGAGATCGATGAGTCCTCCTTATGTATGTGTGTCCACACGTAGATTCTAATTGGTAAAAAGAGTTGAATTTGATATCATTTTTCGCATGTTCGAAGGGCTTAGATAGATATATTGGCTTTACATTCTCTATTATTATGATATTAGCTGCATAAAAAGTCTTTTTAACAGCAACCTTCAGTCTTTGTCTAGTTATCAAGCTGTTTTGATGCCCCATATAGGGTAGCTTCATGTACACGTCTTTCTTATGGGCAAGTTGGAGAGTGAGTCTTGGTGTTCTGACTACTTTAAATTTCCTGATGAAAATGATAATTGTTATCAACCAGAGTTTGTGTCAACTTTCTTTCTTCTTCATCAGGTGCATCTTCAGTGTATATTCGTTGAACTCTACTGAAGAGGCACCTTACCAAGACTCTTTTGTAGCGAACAGGGCAGAAACTGTGGTAATCAAGGTACTGTCCTGTTCAGGTAGGTTTTCGATAAATAGATCGTTTTACTGACCCGTTAGGCCGTCAGCTAAGCAATATGTTCTAGGAAAGATCAACAACTATCTTCCTCTTCTACAGGTGTAAGTGATATGCTATTCTGAACTTCATTCATTCAATTTAAAATTGAGGTGGCAGAACAAGACTTATGACTGATAATTACAATATCATCTACATACCTTCTATAAAGGGACAAATTTTTGATTAAATCCTTCGATAAATTTTCAATGTACGACATATAAATATCTGCTAAAAGGGGCCCTAACAGACTGCCCATAGCAGCATCATGAACCTGACGGAAACAATCACCTTCAAATGTAAACCTAACATTACTAGTACACAGAAGTAATAAATCCCTTAAATAAGATATAGGGAACGGAATTAGAAAATTATGTGTGGAAATGTAATCACACAAATTGTCAGTTGTTTTAAGTGAAGGTGCATTAGTGAATGAAGAGTTTACATCAAAAGAAGTACTCAAGAATGTTGTATTATCTACCAATTATTAGGCATCATATATTTTAAAAGGTATTAGTGAATAAAGTATATATATATATATATATATATATATATATATATATATATATATATATATGGTGAGAGAGAAATGTAAACAGATTAAGTAAATAAATTAGTCGTCAACTCTTAAAAAAACAGTACTCTGAAATTGCACTCACTAAAGTCCCTCACCAAATGATAGCCAATTCGTCTAGTGATGTCCCAAAGCGGTTGGTAGTGTTGACAGAATCAAACTTTTGACGTCATTGGTAAATGTATATCATGCAAGTTTACTAATGTAGGTTTTATTGTAACCACGGATGCTGTCTACAAACAATTAGTAGAAATAGATTTGTGCACTAGGATTCCTAGTGTGAATGTAAGAGACTACTGTTGAATTTTACGTTAAAATTTTAGTTCTGTTTCGATGATAAAATGAACAGCCAAGTTATCAGGTTAGTGATAAGGGGTTTATTTGCAGATTTATTCCTAACAAGACTGCGAAATAGTGTAGAATGGCAAATGGATTTATACTGAAATTACATGAATGAGAATGTTTCACTCTATCAAAAACATCATCAAACTAGTAATGCGTTTCTGATTCATATCAACAATGTTTATCCGGCAGTTCGAATCACAGACAACTCGTTAGACATTTACTCCTTTTCAATGAAAATCATAGAGACACGTCTATCAAAAGAGAAGTACTTTGCGGGAAATAAGCGTCAGATCGTGTGAAAAATTAAAAATACGGTTTCTTTTCGACAAAGTGATCAAGTAGAGTGTATTTTCATGTATATGTGATAAAGGGGTGAGAAGGTTGCTGAAATATTCACGGTCAAGGATCAATTTATTAAGAATAACAAAATTACAAATAGGAATCAAAAACGTACTTAAAGGAAAAATAAAGGAGAAGTTCAGATCGAAAACATACTCAGATAATAATCATTGGGAATATTCACTGTTTGTCATGGCTAAAGTAGAGACAAAGATTGAAAGTACTTACTTTGAATACATAGCTTTGACTTCAATTTTTCGGTAGCTAGTGCTTTAGCTACATCCGAATGTCTTGATCTCACTGCCCTTATGGGGTTTAATTGGATCTTGTATAGGGCTTTGAGGGACTTTAAATACTCGCTACCATTACATGTTACCTAGGATTTTTGTTGGTTAAAAACGAAAATGACTTCACTAGATCCTCAGCAGTTGCATTGAGATCTGTGTACTTTGAGGGTTATGTAAGAAGGTGATAAGAAGATGTCGAAGACGTTTTATGTGGAAACTATTATTTTGGAAATTCCACAGTAGTGAACGTAGTTTATGGCAGTCGCAAATATGGAAGAATGACAAATGAAAGGAACAAATATGCTCGAAGGAAGCACTTCGAATGCAAATTTATGAAAGCTTTCGATCAGACTAATAACGAGGCTGTGGTTATGAAATTTGTGTTTTCCGTGTACGTAAGATATTTAGTCAAAGATAACTGTATAAATCCATGTAGAATTATTAGAAAAATCCTAGGGTTTTTATTAAGCGTAGTGACCACTATACAAATTATTTTTAAACTAGAATTTTTATCACTGCTCAGTTAAAGCGTGGAGGTGATGTCTGCTTGCTGACTGATGTTTTAGTTTAATTATATTTTTTCGCTGAAATCCCACTTATTCACATAACTCAGAACCAAAGTTAAATATTTGACCTTAATGTAATTTGACTGGTGGTGTGTAGATATCAGGGGAATCGAAGGTGTGCGTTTTATTCTACATGATGATTGTTATTACGACTTATCTGCATAACACTGAGTTGTGATTGATTGCAACTTATGAATAACCTGTTATCTTGGTTCCCTTGACCAGAAGTGCTCTTCCTGTGTTGAAATATGGGCTCTCAGTGCAGGCAATTTGATAATATCTGAGGATCAACTCAATATAATGCATCAAAGATGTACTGATTTGATATCTTTCAAGAATTTCAGATTAGTCCAGATGAAGTGGGCGAGGGGTGGTTAAAAAGACGAATTTTAGAGTACATTTTCAGATGGCAGTAAATTTGTGAAACTCACTAACGAAACAACAAGAAGGGGGAAATCGAAAATCAGTCTGCTAAATTACAACAAACTAATAGATAACAAAGTGAAGATTGTTTCATCAATGAATCGTACCCATATCACTAGTTGATATGAACAAAAGGACAGTCAGAAATCAAGCATTATTACATAGTCTGAGAAGATACACCAATCCTGTAGTAAGTTATATCTTATGGAATACGCATTACTCATTTGAAGGTTCTGTGGCCATATTCCGAAGTAAGGAATGACATTCATTACTTAAAGCGTTTATCCAATTTTCTATTCGGTTTCAGTATAGTGATAAAAACGATTCTAATTTTATCAGGGCAAAAGTATATCGAACTGCAGTATTAACATTTCAAGCTTTATAGTTCAATACATACACAGTTCACCTTTAGAATTGATTGTAAAGTAAATAAAAATACAGTCACACAAAATCTCATTAACTTAAAATGCCAAAATCCAAAGTCATTAGACTTTAATATACACGGAGATGTAATATTGGTTCAATAGTATATATGTACAAGGTACATTCAATATAGATTTTCTTATGATATATATATTATTCATTCAGGCTAATTAGGATTACATTGGATGATATCACCAAACCATTGTGCTATTTTTCTTCATTAACTCATAATGTTTAAACGTAAGTTGATGGATCTTTGTCAGTTACCTTTTCATATTGATGTAAGTTATGTTTGCATCATTTCAAAGGGTTTCTTACTAGAGATTCAAACATTCTATTTGAATTAGATGCCTTAAGAAGGAATTAATCGGAATATTAGTAATAATAGCCCATCTTCTCTTTTGCGTGACGGTGATACTGTTGTTTTGTTTGTGGTTGGCGTTTTGACTAGTGGAGAGAACAGTTTTTCTTTCGGCATTATGCTTGTCCTGCTCACAATTTATGAGATTATATAATAGGTAACACCAGTAATATTATTTGTGGTTTATATGTACATCTACAGCTCAGATGAGACATTCAAATTGTTTGAAAAGAAAATGTGGTGGATAAAATAAATACTCCATTGACAAAAACCAAATTTACTCTTCTTATCGGAATGTAGAGATAGCTGTGAATAAGTTGAACAGTTTGTGTTGTTTTATGCCAATATGAATCACATAGTCCCTCTTAAATTCGACACCTTATTGTGGACTAATTATTTACCTGAAGAGGGGTGAGAATACGTAATAAAGTGTAAAGAAAACGCCAAAAACATCTCAGCTTATTGCGAATTAATGTAGGAAAACTGAACTAATAAAAGGCGTATTTCTCTTTCTGCACAGAAAGTTGCCGTAATTATTAAATATTTCTAAACCTTACTCAATGCACCATGTATAGTTTGCGCTTTAATTTAGTCATAACAATATCATCTGCCTACTAACCAAAGTAATTGCTTTTCTAGATATTCATAAACTGTACTCAAAGCCTAGAACCAAACCGGTAAGACAGAAAATGTATATTTGATATAATTTTTGAAAAAACCCACATCAGACTCCTATAGAACCTTATACCACACATGAAGCATTGGAGGTAAAATAAATATTTTGTGTAATAATAAGTGGTCCTTTCAATCAGTTTTTAGTTAATATAGTATGGATGACGATAACTACTATTTTAATCACTGTAACAGTGTCGGCTATGTAAGATGTTATATAATATTATTGTCTTTTCATTTAGTCATCAGCCAGATTTCTGTGTGACACTCTTAGAGAGCTCGCTAGCTTCAACACTAACTTTGTAAGTCATTTAAAACATTAAACTTTCATAAACATTCCTATAATTATCCTAGAATGGATATAAATTACAGTTGAATTAACCGTATGCGCTTCCACATGCGCACTAAACCATGATCTGTATGCAATACAGGTTATCGTATTTATGACGTTGTTTGATGCCTATGTTTCACCTTGTCCCTTAACTTCTCGACTACCACTACACATCATATTATGTTGCTACGTACAAGTTTCTGCTGAATACTTATATATATGTACATATATATATATATATATATATATATATATTTGTGTACAGAAAAAGTTCGTGCAACCCCTCCAATTTTCATGGTCTTAATCCCTCTATGCTAAAGTATGGTAATCCCCAATCATATTTTAGCTCTACCAATTTTTCATTTTGTCTATTCAATTTGTATACTCTTCCTTATTACGTCAATTGTTACTAGTACTATTCTAACTTTGAACTGTCCCCGGTATTATTTCACTTGTTCCACTTGTCATCCTAAATCAATTCTTTTTTACAACGATAAATTGTATGCTATTCAATTTTACACAATATATATTTCATATGTTAACGCAGCGAATGTGTGGAAGATTAAAAACCTAAAATGTTATTTCATGTATCACTAGTACCAGAGGATTATTAGTTTAAAGTGTAAAGGATTTATTTCACTGCCTTCTTCTCTCAACAAGACTGTGAAATGCTGCATAAATTTATATATAGTTTACGCCTTTTATGATGGGACTCATTTGACACGACATACTTTTACATTGCAGCATACTGAAATCCGAGTTGAATTGTGAAACGTCTATCTTTAAAGTTAGGTTTTTTCTTACACCGATGGCAGCATACATAAAGATCCTCTAATTTCAAAGGGTTAATTTGCAACGTGAAAGTTTTCATGGTAGTGATGACAGTGTGAAAATGCATTACTGTTCAGTACCCCATAAGTGACAGGAGTATTTTTAGGTATTTTTGTTTTATTTATTTTTGATTACAGCTTGATTCCACACCTTATTTTTGGTACAAGTATGGAATTTTCAGTGTGGATATCGGTAGCCCGAATTTCGCAGGCCGACCATAGATATCAGGTGTGCGTCGGCGTGGGCTCGAACCCTGGACCATGTTCATGGTCGGCGAGAGTTCTAACCGCTGTACCACCGACGTTGCCAGCTTTAAAAGAAAATGAAACTTGCTATCACTGAATTGTAACTGATGAAGTTGAATCACACTTCGTATTTTTGGTATAAAATAGGATTTTTGTGGACGTGTGAGCGAATAATTTTGTAGACTTAAACCTTTTTGATCAGTATTTAAGTGGGTTTCTGTGATCCAATTAACTCGCAACTCAGTTTTGTGAAAAGATAGTTAGGGCTTAATAAATTAGTGTTTGAGAATTTAACATTGAAAGCAAGTGATTTAGATTCCAGTCTCAAAATGGATTTCTTCAGTGGTAAATAATCAGACGAATGCCTTGTAATCAGGATGCACACAGATACAAAGGAATTGTGATATTACATGAGGGTTTGGAGGGATAGAAGATTTAAAACCAAACGATTAGCTATAGAAGCTATGAATATGTATCCAATTCTGTTATTATCAATTTCATTGTCAGAAGTGATTTTATCATAGGATCATAGACAGTTTGAAAGGAATCGCATTCTCCTAAAATGTTAGGTTTGTCTTAACTACGACGAATACTATATCACTGTCAAGAGGATTTCCTTCTGGCGTCGGTGGCACAGTGGTTAGGACTCTCGCCGGCCATGCTTATGGTCCCGGGTTCGATCCCCTGCCGACGCACACCTGATATCTATGGTCGGCCTGCAAAATTTGAGCTGCCGATATCCATGCTGAAAATTCCATACTTGTACCGAAAATACGGTGTGGCATCGAGTTGTAATAAAAATAAAAATAAATAAAATAAAATAATCATTACTTTACATTTGACAGTTGATATGATCATGAACAATAAATTTTGTTCGAAACGTCATCCAGTAAATTATACTGTTTCACTGTGTGATATATCTAATAAACAAACTAATATGTAATTACTTTACTTACTTGAATGTTAAACTAAAATCAGAACCACTGCATGAACTCAGAAATTATACGCCTAAGTATATATCCAAGCGTTTGCTTGCAGCTACTCAACTGGTTACAGTATTTCATCATAGATTGACACTGGTTACAGAACCATTGGAAAACCTGGGAGTACTGGACAACTGTCTCGTCTTAGTTTAGGGCTCTTCATCAGTATGCATCCTCCGGGGTTTGACCCAAAAACGTCCTTGTCACAAGACCAGGTCGTAGACTATTAAACCAGTGGGCTACTGGATATGGTTAAAATGGCCCAATGATTCTCTAATTGATGGCAGCTCATGATCAAATCCGGTAAGTTTGTATTACCTCTACATTTTGACATGTGTCGTTCAGTTTCACTGTATATATTAATTAAAAATTGAAACTTCTTGTATCAGATATTTCTTCCAGTTTAACATAGCAAACCTCTTGTGCTTTTAATTGTAGATTATGTTGTGCACTTTCTCTTTCGTCATTTGTAACTTTTGAGAAGTTACAAAAGTTGTTTCCGATCAAGTATATTCTACTGGGTATAATCGTAAGTATTCCTAGCTACATATGTTAAACGAAACATTTGACCTATTTTAAACAAGTCAGTCAATATTTATTCGTATTTTTCAAACCATTCCCTAAAGTCCCTTACATAATTTGCAAGAAAGAAGTTGGTTTCACAGTAGTCGTTTTTAGACTTCTGCATCAAGTAGAAAACCATCGGTAATTTAAGGATATAGAGTAGTTAATTTGTTCTTGTTTGATTTATTCAAACTTACTTAAGTTGAGACATGGTCTCATCTACAGGTCACCGAGACTAAGTCAGAGGTAGTGGCAAACAGACCACTTCGCCATAATTAACCAATGCAATAGGAGGAGGAGTTTCGCTCCTTGTGGAATGCCTGCATGAACTATGTTCATGTAAGTGTACATTGTTCTAAGTACATATATATATATATATATATATATATATATATGTAGCGGAGACTAAGTCGACGTAGACAAAAGCTGCTTAGAAGTTCTTAATTGTCCAGCCACTGAATAAGAAGATAATATCAGCATCAAGTCATTAAATAGCTGAACGTTTATCTGAATACATCTATCATACACAGAGTAAAACAACTAGGTGCCGTGTGCAGTCATCTGCATAAAATTGGTGGTCAAAGTTTCTGACCTGTAGCCTAAAGTCACCATATATTAGTGAATTTCTGGAGCATGACGCGAATTCGTCAGGCCAAGGAAACTGATCTTGGAAGGTTCCGGATGCGATGGAAAGTTACAGCTGTTTAACCATAGGCTAACTAAACATCTCTACGACGCCCGCTAACCGTGGTTGATAACGATAACGAAAGAAGTGGGAAAGGCGTCACTACTAGGTCATATCGTCAGTAACGCGGACTCATGAAAAAGAAAGATCCCTGAAAACTGGTAAGTTGAACTGTCTTTAAAGCTGATAATACCTCCACTGAACAACGGTAATGTAGGCTGAAACAATTTAAAGACGGTTTTATTAGCCTACAGCTTTATTACAGTTGCTGACCATCCAAATCTGTGTTGAATGGGAAGTTAACACTGGTTCTCCGGCTGTGACTAAGGCTGCGAAATTTGGATGTATATTAACCAAGACCGAAACAAGCAGTGGAACTAGATGGTTCGACTCTAGAACTATTTAAGGGTGGCGGTGATGAACAGATTAACCGAGATACTGTCTAGTGGTTAGGAGGCCAAGGTGATTCCACAGGACTGGTGAAAATCTTTGGCTATGTGGGTTCATAAAAAAGGATCAAATCTTCCTACCACGACTACATGCAATTCACCTGGATTAACATGGTATTTAGTGTCCTAGGGTCTGTAGTCATGTGAGGACCAAATGTAGCTTACGAAAAAACAAACCATATGAAATTTTGGCTTCGAATATTACTATCTGATCAAATCTACACCACTCAACAGATTCAGGAATATAGGCGAGCCTATAGGACGCCATTATTTCAGAATACAGAAATAACCAGTCCTTTTATTTTGTCACTTAAATACCCTGAGCACAAATACTGGCTAGTTTTTACTTGTTAAATATGAGATGATAGAAAAGGACTAATCTGAACTGACTTCTAGCTTACGGATAAGATATGATTTGTTTAACTATATTGATCACTTTACTTATTTGGCTACTTGCCCTGGAGCCTAAATGGATTGGTTGTTAGTGCAATATTAGCATGAACAGAAGAGGCTAGTAATACCTTCTTATCTAAAACGAGTAGGTCTGTCACGCATCAGTAAGATAGGGATGCTGAGAGTAGAAGGTAACAAAAAGCAGAAAAGTTTTACTTTTTGAGTATTTGCTCGCTTTCCCAGGTAAGAGGATATAGCATGATAAGTAATAATGACGTTAGGAAAGAATTCTATCGATTACGTTGATCAGCATCATCGATTGATATGCTCTGAGGATGCGGAAACGCCGCCTCTGTACACGCACAATAATCACTGAAGTAGGATTAGTTGAGAAAAAAGTCTATACTGGTCAAGCTAGAACAATAACAACAATTTGTGATGTCACTGAGCCGTTCGAGGAGGTTTAGATTCCTTTGCTAGGCTCTTCAGGATACCTAAGCGATTACGGCCTCTCTGTGAACATGGCTATAACTTCTCATTCCATGTCACCTTGGAGATATTGGAAAGATCCATCAATTTCCATATAAATAATCTCTCCTGCATAAATTTACTAGTTTTTTTTCAGTAGCGCCAATCAGTGTCCAAGTTTCAACGTCGGGCGGATTTCAACCTGACAGGGAGTTGTTTTCATCCATAAGCGATGTTAACTAGACATGAGAGACTCTTGAGTTACTGAATTTCAGTCTGGTGTTTGAATTTCAGCGTTACTCGCCCGTTAACCTGATGAAGCGAAATGTGATCATCATCAGAGTAGTTGGTATGCATACTGCAGAATGTTTGCAATTCAGTGAAATCTCCTACTTTTGAATACCATTATTTTTGATAATGCTATCAACTAGTGTTGAAATGTACCTTTAGAAATCAATTGTGAAACTCTTCGCATCTATTCTTTTTCAGCAGAAACTTGCATTTTTTGCCGGTTTGTTTTAAAATTAAAATATTAATCATATCTTATTTTATGTAAAATAATATGTCAGTTATTTATTTTAATGGATTCAGGTTATCTCAGGTTCAGTGTTGCTTTCATATTCTTGTGTGTATACACATTTTACGGAATGTTTAGCTTCATGGACTTTGGTTATCTTGATATCTTCACTAGAAATCATATTCGGAATCAAAACTCCCACTTCAACTCCAGAAGAACTATCAGATTTATTGGTGACTTCAGGTGCATTCATTGCCATTGGATTTGTGTATCTTTTCATTGCATTTCTCTTCGGCATAAGTGTAAGTTACTTATCATTATTATTATTTTCAGTTAATGACAATTACGACGTTAACGAAATCGGATCCTATACTCCTGAATAAAATAAATATAAAAAAGTGATTCAGTGTTAAATTATTACAATCAAATGCAACATGTTTGCCCATGTCTAATAGGTATACCTCAGCTTTTATTCGTTTTTATTAGGAATTCGAATCTAACTTTGGTTCTTGAGTGAAAAACAAAGCTTCAACAGTACATCTACATTTCATCCTGTATTCTGTAGTCGTCTTTAGATGGCTACACGACGATGTGTAGACTGTCTTCTCGCCCTTTACACAGCCTCCTCCATGTCACCGTCGGACGCCCAAATCTTTGTTTCCCATTTAGGTTCGGATCAAGGATAAGGAGCGCGATTAAACTCAACATTCTCTTCAGAGTGTGTCTATTCCATCTCCATTCTCTTTGACATACTTTGTTGAATGACAGGTTCTTATTTTGTTCCTTTTGAGTGTTCGTTAATGCTGAGCATTTCTGTCAGTATTATCTTCATCATGGAATCAGTGAAGGCAGCTGTTGATAAAGTTTGTAAACTATTGAAGATGATTATAGTGACACACCGTCTCAGAACCATATAGGAGAACTAACTCAACACTAATGAGGAAAATCGGAATCTTGTTTCCTTATGCTGAGTGCAACTGATTTCCAAATTGCCTCAAGGTTAATAAAGATTTGTCTTTCTTTTCCTTTTCTGCCACCTGCAGCTGAAAAGACTCTGTCAAGGTATTTAAAAGAGTGACCTCTTTCATATTTCTCCATATGATATTGACTGGTGCTTGTTGTTCTCGGTAGATTATTTTCATTACCCCTCTGTCCATTTAGAGTCTTGTCTTGGCTGCCTTTTCTGACAACTTGCTGGTTGTCAACATAAATCGTCCACGAAGTCCAAATCTCTTAGAGTCCTTTCGTCGACCCAACTTATTTCCATGTTATAGTTCGTAGCACATGCTGCGCCGTATGATGCCGTCCGTCACAACCAGGACTATCATTAATGATAGTAGACAACCTTGTATTGTTACATTTTGACTGGAATGATAGACATTCAGAATAATACAACAACTTTAATAGTATTTAAATGAAGTATTCACTGAGACGTAAAGCAAATTCTTCCAACCTGATCATAATTGTTGATAATCTACCAATCATGATTATTTCAGTTGCACTCATTGGCACATGAAAAGGTATGGTAACAGATTGGATGACTACAATAGTAACTGAACGTGAACAGTTGCCTTATTCATTTATTGACCAACTAAATATTTCGATGTGTGCAGTAAACAAAGGACTCAGTTGGTGTCGCTGTTGATTCAGCGGAATTCTAAATTACTATTATAAAGTTTATGTTCTGGGAAGTTTTATGTTGTCTTAGTCAATGCGTTCGAATTAGGTAGACAGATCCCTTACGCTTGTTAACAACAAGATTTGTAAAAATGTTTCGGGTGATGTTTGTTACTGTATCACTCAGAGTTGAAGTCACAGACTATGACAAGGGCCGGCAACAGATCATTTTATTACGGAAATCAGCACGTATTTATATATATTTCATGTACATTATTATAGCTTATTCAAGTAGACAAACGCAGTCTTCTGGTTGGCTGTTTCCGGAAGTTAAGCAGACAAACGCAGTCTTGTGATTGGTTGTTTTCGAGTTTCTCGGAAAGTGGAGCCATCTATCTGCGAATCATATTCGCCCACGTTTAAGTCTGCTGTGATTGGTTGTTGAATCAGCCTTGTTCATATTTTCTCACGGCCAATAATAGTGACCTAGACATTGACGTAGATTAATGTCTACCAATTGGCTAGCAGCCTGCTCTCACCACAACTTTATGTGATTACCAGTGAAGTTGTACTTTTCAACTAGATATGGTTTTTACGAAAGGCTTAGAAACAAAATTACACAGGATTAAAACGGATATCAAGTGTGTAAAAGTGAGCATGGAAATAAAATTGAAATAATAATTTTTAACTTGAGATGGAAGTTAGGAGGTGCGAGTATGGATAATGAAAGCCTTAGAAACACAAGAATTGAGCAGGATTAAGATATAATTGTAAAATAGTTAATTTTTTAGACGAATTATAAATGTGAACAGGAAAAGCATGGAAACAAACTTAAAATAACTGTTTTTATAACTGAAAAAAATGGGGTGAATCGAATGAAGGCTGAGGGAGTAAGAATCACACACAGACACAGCGAACGAAAAAAGAGAACGAAAGAAGAAAAAAACAAAAACGGAAGCTAAGGGAACATACCGAAATAGGTCCACGGTTGTTGATATCCATTCTAATCTTGTGTAATTTTGTTTCTAAGCCTCTCGTAAAAACCACATCTAGTTGAAAATAATTATCACCCTTTATTCGCCGTCGAAGTTATACTTTGCCGAAGTAATTTATGCCTACAAACTAGATATTTGAATATTATGTGAGACAATTAATAATGCTGAAATGTTTCTCAATAATGCAGATTTGGCTTTTTGTAGGATTCAAGAATATTTTCCAACTACTTTCTCCTGATTAAGTTCAATCAGGTGATGACAGATTTATCATCTGAATCACCATTATTTATTAAGAAAATAAAAAGCAATTCAGCAGAGAAAATTACCTTATCGACGAAATCATCTTCAGAGGCTGTGCAGCCATATTTACATTTACCAGAAATGTATGGTAGTCCAGTATTGAATGGTAGGGATGACATAATTGAAATAATTTCTCAGAAGTGGCTTCAAAAATAAAAATAAAAGCTATGAATTATGTAATACTCAATGGCACGAAGGAAGAAAGCGTTAGACATTTGATAAGGTTAAAATTGTTACTCAGTGAGAAGAAAGGTAGTTGAGTGTTCATTTAACAAGTCTGAAGAGGTTCAGAAGACGTATAAAAGAATATATGGAAGTGATACTAGTGAATTAATTAATAAAGTAAAAGCAAAGTAATCATTAAAAAATAAAATTAAAAATCTACAGGGAACAACTAGTGAAGAGGTTAAGACTATGATGGCATAAGAGACTGAAGAACCGTTTCTGTATACAGAGTTCGGGGTTGTATTGACAAATTGCCAACTTTTTCGCCGTACAGAGAAGCCAATACCTAACGCCATTTGTATCATTTGGTCTCACCTTGTAGATTTTTTGAAAGACGACTCTGGTGGAGCTGAACAGTTTGAGTTCATCAAGTGCTCAAGAATAAGGCTAGTGACAGTCTCGCATTAACCTTTATTAGTCATGCTATGATAATATTCAGAGATCCGTTTGGAAAGTGTGCGCTTTATGCCGCCAATATGGTTCATTAAAGTTTGTATACTTTTGTAGCTACAGAAATATTTTTTTATTGTTTCTCTTTAGATTTTTACCGCCACTGCTTTCGCCTTTCCTTTCGTCATTGGTATCATGTTGGTAAGTTTTATGAATAAAGTGAAAACAGAACACTTTTACAGGGTTTACTAGCAGTTTACCCCGACGTTTAGGTATTATAAAGCTAACATTGACCTGGATTTGGAGAAGCGAAGTATTAGGAAAAAACTGAAATATGTTTCTAGTTCGCCTTTTTCAGCTGCATGAAATCAGTGTACTTATAGTGAATCCATCGTAAAATAGACTATTATATCTTCCGGGGTAAAACGAATCTTTCTTTTTCTTATGCTACTACTAACTTTGCCATATATATAGCATAGCATGAAACTGTATCACTATGGTGCTATCTGTCTCTCAAGGTAAATTTTGTTGCCTTAATATTCACTTATTTAAGTGTTTGTTTGTAGGGATTTGATTGGTTACAGGATTTCATCATGAGCTGACATTAGTTAGAAAACCCTGGAAAACCTGGGAGTACTGGATAACTGTTTCGTCCTATTTTGGGACTCTTCATCAGCACGCACCCATTGGGATTCGAACCCAGGACCTTCCGGTTACAACAGTTTTTTAGTCTTTCGAAGGCTTCCGTAGCTGATGCTGTCCAGCTGTAGTCTTTCTTCTTAAGAATGTCGAATAAAGGAGCTGCAAGGAAAGAAAAGTTAAGTACAAAAAGTCGATAATACGAGGCGTACCCTAAAAAAAACTATGTAACTAGGGGATTGAGTTTGGGAGCGGCCAGTCTTTAACTTCCTGAACTTTTGCTGGATCACATTTAATGCCTTCGGGTGAAACAATGTGACCTAAGAAACAAACTTCTTTCCAGAAGAATTGACATTTCGATGAGTTCAGTTTTAACCCAACGGTCTGCATCCGTTCTAATACTTCGGAGATATCACTTAAATGTTCGGTCATCGTCTTGCTATGTATGATAACATCATCTAGATATACCAAATACTTACCTGGTATACAATCACTCAAGACCGTTTGCATGAGGCGTTGGAATGTTGCTGGGGCATTGACTAACCCAAACGGCATTGTTTCAAACTCATACAGGCCTGTTTGTTTAGTGAATGCTGTTTTTTGCCTGTCATCTGGGTGTACTTCAACCTGCCAATATCCCGATGCCAAATCTAGAATGGTAAACCAGTTCAAACCTTCTAAGGCATCAAAAGTGTCGTCTATGTGTGAAAGGGGAAAGTAGTCTCGTCTAGCTAACAGATTCAACTTACGATAATCTACACATAACCGGAGTGTCCCATTCGATTTCTTAACTAAAACTACTGGGGAAGCCCATGGAGATACGGATGGTTTGATGACATTTTTCTCTAACAGTTCATCAACTAACCTATTAAGCTCCTTCTAGTAATGTACAGGTACTCGCCGTGCAGGTTGTTTACAAGGTGGGGCGTTACCCGATTCTATGTGGTGTTGGACCAGTTTTGTTCTCCCCGGGTTTTTTTCTATCTCAGTCAAAATAGTCCCATATTTGTCTAGCATTTTATTAAAGTTGACTGCCTTTTCGGATGGTAAGGGTTCTGTAGTCGTTAGCACTCGCTGTTTCTCAGTCTTAGCATCTCCCTGCACGCCAAAATTGCCGTGCTCTACGTCATTCCCTATAATAAATGGAATGGAGCAGTCCTTCAGTATAAGAGTCCTCTGACTACAATCTGTTATCACGGACAGCTTTTCCAGGAGGTCGACCCCCAAGATTAACTGCCACGGCACCCGGGTATATATGATGAAAGTGTGCTGAAGTGACAGTGTGGCCAATTTAAGAGGCAGCAGTACCACTGCGTGGGATTGCATGAAGTCTCCATTGGCTGTCGTAAGCCGCAACTTTTGAGTTCTCTAACTAATGTCAGCTCATGATGAAATCCTGTAATATTCACTTACTTGACAAATGATTCTGTTAGGATTCATCCAGCAGTTAGAAAGCGTAAATATAACCAGTTTACGCTTTACTTACAAAAACCGCATACTCATGAGATAAGTAAATGTTATCGGTATAAAAACTAAACAAAAAAATGATAAACATTTTCATTGCCTTTTTAATATTGTAGATCATCTGTTATTTGGTAAAAATTGTGAAGAGCACAGAGCATATATTATTCGCCGTTTTACTTGTTTGGATTCTACAGCTTTTGATGTATGTGATATTCATTATTCTAATAAAGATACCATGAACACCGCTATGAAACGAGGATGATGATGATGATGATGAGGACAATAACAATACCAACTTTTTAGATTTCGTTTTTGTAATTTGAACAAATTTCTTTGTACTTTACTTTTTCAGTAAATCAAATGTACAATGGTTTTGTAATATTGCAAAAATAATCAATATTTTAAGTGTTAATATTTTTAAATCTTCAGTTTACGTAACAAATTAACAGAATGACAGTGGTTAGGACTCTCGCCAACCATGCACATGGTCCGGGGTTCGAGCCCACGCCGGCGCACACCTGATATCTATGGTCGGCCTGCAAAATTTGGGCTACCGATATCCATGCTGAAAATTCCATACTTGTACCAAAATACAGTGTGGAATCAAGCTGTAAATCAAAAAAAAATATACATATAATGACAGACAAAATCATCTTTATTCGCAAGTCTAGAAGTCTATCATTCTTGGAATAAAGCAAAACATTTTCTAATAACTTTTCTGATATCTTAAAATAATTGTCGTCATTGGAAAAATAATTAACGGTTGGGGAAAGTCGGCTGCTATTTTTAGGTTGAGCGTCACTTAATCCTACAGTACGTTTCCAACGTGTATTTACTGGGTCAAGATTTAGTGACTCGCGCTTACAGCTTCTTCCTAGATGTCCAGCAGTAGAACTGGCATTCTGCGTCACTGAAGAGTAATAGGTCAAACAGCCTGCATCTGACAGTATGAAAAAGAACAGAGGTGGAATATATTTGTAAACAGTGAATAATTCTGTTATATAATGAATATATCAGAGACCTTTGACCTGAAACAACAGTCATACGGATAGATATTCATTAACTGATGAGTACTGCATTAACCTTTGTTAGCTTCAAATTAACAAGTGAAGCTTCACCTATGAATGAATTTTGAGAATTAAAGGATTTATTTACTCTGATAAGAATTGATAATGGAGTTGAGAAACAAATTCTTTTTCACTTACCATCTTTTTAGATGAAGTTAGAGAAAAGTGATAAATGAAAAAGTCGATGGCAGTGGAATGAAACAGCAGTTGAATGTCACTTATAAATAATTATTATACTATTGTTCCCTTGGGTTCCTAGTGGAACATAGGGCTTCAACTGCACGTCTCCATTTGCTTCTGTCTTCTGCGGTACTTTTCACCTGCATCCATGTTAGTCCATATTCTTTCAACTCCTCTTCACATGATCTCCTCCATGTCACCCTTGCACTGACGACCCACTCGCCGCTTCCCTTTCGAGTTCCACTCGAGCAATGGCCTGACGCGCGCGCGATGCCACCCAGCGGCCTCCAGCCTTAGCGAGTGTTCAATCCATCTCCACTTTCTCCTGCATATTTGTTGGCTAGCGATTGGTTCTTGTTTTGCTTGTTCCCATAGTTTCTTGTTGGTGATTCTTTCCGGCCCGGCCATCTGATCTTCAGTATAGAGTGAAGACAGTTGTTGATAAAGGTTTGCAACAGGCTGTTGGAAATATTCTTTGTGACCTGCCCACCAAGTTTCTCATCCGTATAGAAGAACTGACTGACTTGACGTTTGTATTGAAAATCCGACCGAATATTATCGTTGGTGCTGAGTGACGAAGATTTCCAGATTGGTTTCAGGTTGATAAATGTGTTTCTCGCCTTCCCGATGATTCTCGATTTGACATCTTCGTCCGTTCCGACTGCCTGTAGTTGAGACAATGCTCCCTAGATAAGTAAGTGAATGAAGTAACCTCTTTCAAATCCCTCCCGTTGATGGTGATTGGTGCTGGATAATAATAATAATGGTAAAGCTTTATTTAAGACAGTATGCGAATATACGTTACAAAAATTTTCAGCGTATTCACTGTCAAAGTACTTTTTTTCACACAGGATTCACATGTAAAGTAATAATCTGAAGTATATCTTCATTTCGTTGAAGAATTGTACAGCGTTTACTTGGGAGCAAGTTAAATCATCACTCAAGTTTATGTATAGGTCATTTGATATAACTGGACGATTAAAACAATGATAAATCCAGATGACATTAAGCATTTTGAAGGAAAGTAATTTCGGTAACTCAATGATTTAAGCAGGCCACCTATATTGCTGTTGTTTTTGTTGTTAGTTGGTTATTTTCATAACCTCCGTCTTGTCTATGTTCACTTGGAGTCCTGTCTTCGCTGCTTCTTCGACCAGTTTGTCCGTTTTCGCTTGTAAGTCTTCGATTTTGTGTGACATCAAACATAAATCATCCACGCGCGAAATCCAGGTCTTCTAGGTTCTTCATGTTGGTATAGGATATCCCTGTCTTTTCGTTTCCCACTGTCTGATACATAATTCAGTCCATCATCACTTGTAAAAGTGGAACTGAATGCTTTAGAGTGAAACATATTACAGACGACAAACTGATGTTTATAAAATTTCAAGATCATTTTCTTCCCGTTCATAACATCGTCTTACATGAATTCTGACAAACAATCACCCACTTTTGCGATATTCCTGAATGGTTAATTATTACCAGTGTTGGCCTTAAGGAAACTATTTCAAGTCTACCCATAACACTAGCATATATAGTCTTTGTATGTATAACCATAAAAGAGTCACTAAAGTGGAGCATTTGCCAACGAGTGGAAAGTAATCGACTATCCAAACTACTAGAAAGAAATAATACATAAATAAAATAATTTTGAAGAGTGGTTAGAAAGATCAGCAATGCAGAAACGAGCGAATTCTTCAAGAAAATCTATGATTGTGATCAGTTAAAGACAAAATTCAAATCAGTGGTTACTGAACGTTCAAGATACGTTCCAATATTCGAAGACTTCAATGCAATCACATCACAGTGTACAAATTAAAGTTTGTAAGTGCTAAAAATTACTTTGCAAGTATCAATCGGTATCATAACAGGCAATAAGTATTATTCGTTGCTTTCGTCAATTACTAGTTCCGTATTAATTTGTTTATTAGACATATCACGCAGTGAAACAGTATTATTTACTGGATGACACACTTTTGAACACAATTTATTGTTCGTAATCATTTCATCAATCATAATAATCACATGACTTCGAAACTTCAGTTGTATAGTTTTCTTTATTTTTTCCTGTTTGTCGTAGAGGTAGTAGAATTTTCCAGATGGCTGGGACTGGTATTGAGTTATTACTATTACACGTGTTTGCAGTTGATTCGATAAACAAAGCTTCCGTTATCAATCTTCTCCGCCCTACCCTGTTACATTAGATTTTAAAACTGTTATTTATCCCATGCTATTTATTGTATGGTTGTATGTAATTGCATGTAGTGAGTACTATAGCTGAACTATTTCCTCGATTTCTTATCTTATTCGTATCTATAAGTAGATTTTGTTAGGTTTATTTTGCTCGGCTAGTCTGACTGCCTCTGTTCTACTACTTTGACCTATGTATTTGACCTGAAAATCATTGCAGGCAGGGTATTAGATAAACTAAATTGTTTTGTTTTAAAGGCTCCACTGGCGGGATCCTTTAACCGACAAAGCTTGTTTCTAATTGAGTTTGTGGGTGGCTTGAATGCCAGCCACTTTTATTCCTGCCTTGTTAAGAATTCTGCGTAAGGTTTCCGAGGTTCCTTTCTTGTATGGAATCACTAGTGATGATTTAGATTCCTTATTGTTGGTGTTGTCTTGAGCACATTTGACTTGCATGTCATCATTAATATTATTATTACTGTCACCATCACTACTATCATTATTTATTTTATTTTTACACTTCCCTACATACTTTCTGACTAATTTATCAGGGTAAGTATTAAGTTTCAAAGCTTCTCTTATATGCCTCACTTCCTGTCTTAGATTTTCTTTGGTACTACTTAGTTTTTGTGCTCTATTATTACTTAGACATTTCACCAATCCTATTTTCATTGACATAGGATGGAATGATGGGAAGTTCAAATATCTGTTTGAATGTGGCCTCACCTTTCAGTTGATGTGTTCGAAAAATCTACTTATAGATACAAATAAGATAAGAAATCGAGGAAATAGTTCAGCTATAGTACTCACTACATGCAATTACATACAACCATACAATAAATAGCATGGGATAAATAACAGTTTTAAAATCTAATGTAACAGGGTAGGGCGGAGAAGATTGATAACAGAAGCTTTGTTTATCGAATCAACTGCAAACACGTGTAATAGTAATAACTCAATACCAGTCCCAGCCATCTAGAAAATTCTACTACCCCTACGACAAACAGGAAAAAACAAAGAAAACTATACAACTGAAGTTTCGAAGTCATGTGATTATGATTGATGAAATGACTATGAACAATAAATTATGTTCGAAACGCCATCCAGTAAATAATACTGTTTCACTGCATGATATATCTAATAAACAGACTAATATGGAATTGTATACTACCATAGTGTCCGAGTTTTACACATATATTAATATGGAGTTCATATCGCTATTATTACACTCCAACTTCAGTGGTGTTTCTATCTGATGTTTGTATAACCATAAACTAACCATGGCAACTGATTTTCAAATGAAAACCCATTTCACTTTGTGAAAACTTCCTTATAGGATACAGTAGTAAACATGTGTTCATTTCTAGTTTTCTGTCGTATTTACATTACATCACAAGGAATTGCTATTTATGCCGCTAGCTAAGCAAGTATGAGCATTCGCATTCGGTTAGTGGCTAACAGGCTGAAACTAATTTCAAGTATTTCTGATTACTAGACAGTTATCACTCTTTTAGGTCAGGTAAAATGCATAGGTTCACTGTTTTATTTCCGTCATTTTTCCTGAGTCTCAAAAATATATTTCTCGGCTAAAATGGTCGGTACATGTGCAACAATCAGCAATCTAATGCTGACAAGTTTGTCAACAATAATAATCATAATCATTGTGACAGAGGGTTGATATAAAACCAGGAGAACTGATGGTATTGGTAAAGGGTGTAAATATTTGTGAAAGTTACGTGTTCTTCTTCTTGACATGTCAGAAGCCATCAGAATCCAAATAATCAGGCCTAAGTTGTGCACTTTTTGAAGAAGTTTACACGCTTATCTCCTTTATTTTCAATTATTGTTTTTCAGGGATATGACTGACTCCACTTCTGATCAAGAAATGACTTCAGTTAGAGCGCCACTGTTAACCAGTGCGTATTTGACAGCTGTTCCATCCTTGTTTGGGACATTTGCGTTCGTATTTTCCTT